AATTACAACACCACAAGCCTATGAGGAAGAAGAAAATACCAACGATGAGGAAGATTCGGTCGATCTCTCAGCGGGAATTCCGTTGGACCAGATGAGCAAGGGCCAGCTGAGCAAACACGCAAAAATGGGCTGGACTACCTACTTCGAAGATTCATGTGAGTGCTTTCCTGTAATATACAGGATAAGGAGTGCCAGTTGCTTCGCTTGTCCTGTACTAGACACTAATGCTCGTATATCATTGCTATGTAGGCGCTTCACTTCAGATGCCATCGGCAGAGCTTACACGCTGCTCCGCCACACCTACGGAGTTGGCGACAGCACTGGGAAGTAACTTGGAAGGATTAGTTTTCCTGTTCCTGCCTAAATCAACGTGGGTGTCTGTCGCTACTGATCAAATCGGTACCAGCTTCAATATCGAACGCAGGCAGCGGACGAAATAATGGCACGGCAGCGACGGATCAAGATGAGGCGATCTGAGTACAAGATGAAAAGGGTACAGCAAGTCCAGACTGAGCAACGATCATTCAAGCCAATTCAAGCTCATGAGCTGATACATTTCATCGGTTTACCGTGTGCCCGAACCCTTTGCCCGCACCGCGAGAAATTGTCGAAGCATTGGGCGGTGGATGTACAAGGCGCGGTTCCCAAAGGAACATTTGGGCGACACATGGCGAGAAAGCGATTCGAAGAGATCGTACGATTCTTGCATTTTAGTGACAACATTCATGTTGACGCTGTCAAGTTCAAGACGTGGAAGATAAAGCCTGTCGCCGACACGTTCAACTCAACGTTCAAGCTGGGGATGACGGTGGGGCAACGAATCGCCTTGGACGAAGGAATGATACCAATGAGGAGCAAGTACAACCCCATGCGGCTGTATCTTCGAGGAAAACCCCACCCATGGGGCACTAAGTGCTTCTTGACGTGCGATCCAGACAGCAGGTACTACTACAGGTAAGGAACCAATAAATTTGCAGAAACATTGTATAATACATGATATCAAGTAATTATTCTTCTGTCTTATCCTGTATAGGACCGAGATATACCAAGGAAAGCTCAACCGTGATAATGCAGACCTGAACCAAGGTCCCAACGCTGTGATCCGTAACGTTGAAGAGGCACTTGAAGGTCTACCAAGGAAGCGTCTGATTATCACCAACCATTTCTACTCAAGTGTGCTGCTTTCGTCTATCCTTCTACAACGTGGACTCTACCATGTTGGTACCATTCAAACGAACCGACGAGGTTACTGTAAAGACGTTCCATACAAGCAAGCTAAACGACCAAAGACGATGGCGAGAGGGGTATACCGGATTGCCCAGTCCAAGACTGAGTCGAATTTGATTCCAGTGTCCTGGATGGACAACCGCCCTGTGCACTTCATTGTGACTGGATATAGTACCCGGCGGACAACCCTGTCAAGACGCGCGGGTGCTGAAGTAGTTGACGTGCCAACTCCTCATCTCGTGAAAGACTATCAAGATGGCATGGGAGGAGCAGATATTCACGACCTGCTGTATTTGCAAAGATACTCAATTCAGGTATTATTTACTCTCTTTTTCTTATCCTGTATTATACCTGACAATATAAACTAATGACCGAATGTTATCCTGTATATTACAGGGAGCGATGAAAATGAAGAAATATTACCACACAATCTTTCTTGGGTTAGTTGAAATGGCGCTCATCAACGCCTACATCATCTATCGACGTGTTCAAGGCAATCTTACTCCCGGTAAAGCACCCCCGACACATGCTGAGTTTTAGCGCCTGATACAGACTGCACTACTCAACATTGGACCGGCTGACTTTGCAGGAAACGTGTCAGTTGAAGCATTGGCAGACACCCCGGTTGCCCGCTCGTCAGTTCCGCGCTACACGCTTCCAGCACAGCACACGACTAAGCAAGTGAGCGTATTTCGCACAACACGTGGAAAGAACGGGAAATATTCACAAAAGCGCCGTCAATACGGCTGCAAGGTGTGCTCGTTGCTGCGTCCAGGCAAGAACTCGTGGGAAACCACGTTTTACTGTGTGGAGTGTTCTGAAGTGAGGATGCGGGGCGTGGATGACGATAACGCCATTGGAAGAGGGAAGGTGTATCTATGTCAAAAGGTGCGGCAACATGATTCTAGTGGACCTACAAACTCGGCCACCTGCAGTCAGATATGACACGATCTTTGGCGGGGAGGAGCGAACATCCCACCCGGTCTCAAGGCTATTCGGCTGCGTACTGCTTCCAAAGCAGGTGCCCAACGTCCAGATGGAGGACTGGATGATGATAGTTGTTGCGAGGACGATTCCAGCGTCACATCGAGTAGTTCGCGAAGCAAAGCGAGCGCTGTGAATGGAGAATGTTCTGCAAAGGCTGTTAGTGAAGTGGTACAGGCCGCAACGATCTAATCCTTTCCATGTATAATCAAATATGAAATGAATGCAAGCTACTTGTGAGTGATGGTTTTTGTTGATATTTAGACATTTTCCCACGAGCCCTATTTGTGCAATAACAGGATACTGCGTCATATGTTAGAACCACCATTCTTACACTTACCCTGTACTGCACAGGGCAGATAACTGACAGAGATTGTGAGCTTGAAAAACTCCGCAAATAATAAACCCAAGTCATTTGTTACCCTGTATAATACTTCCTCCTCACGAAAATGAGTGGTCCATTTAGTTTTTGTAGGTGGAGATAATGATTGGGTATACTAACACGTTTAAATATTATTTGTCAGAAATATCAATTTCGACGAAAGGATCGCCTCCTACCGCTTCAAGCGCAGTCGCAAAAAGATTTTTTGGGCATGCTAATACTTCTTTTTTCTTCTTCACGCTGCAACTTCTGCTTTCCTATGTGCGGTAAAATGTATTCGTTTCCACCTTTGGTCTGTAAAATGCACAACATGACACTCTGCAGAGTCAGAAATACATCGTTTAGAGTAGTATGCGTCAACACATCGAAAGCTGACATGACTGCTATCAAAGCGTCAACACAGTAAAGTGGGGTATTAAGCTGGATGGTCTAGATCGACGAGAAAACCCGAGATCGAGCTCATATAGGTCCGGTGAATTGGGTGGCTGGCAGAACAGACGAATGTTCCATCCATCGGTAGTCCCAGCTGCCATGATGTCGGGGTCGTGCAGAGAACGTGGGGCTTGGCGTTATCTTGCTGAATCAGAATGGGCTTGTCTCGGTCTCGTGCGGGCCACTGAAGGTATGACCTCCTTCAGCAAAAACTCCTTGATGACGTCTCGGTTGATAGACGCAATATTCCTCGTGAGAACTGTCCCTGCTGGGCTGTTAGCGCTGTTTCGTTGAGCGGTGCAGTCCTCGACTATCGGCCAGATCCCAAGCTTGCCATTAAACATGGCTTTGCGATGGTAGTCGTATCTGTACAGAGCCCATTTAGAAGCATACCAATCCATATAACAGTTTATCAAATCTCGTAGGTTTTACCTCGGGCGGGCAACTGCTGCCCGAAACACAGTCTTGGGGATGAATCGTTTGCTTCGGCGGTGGCGCTCTGGCAGTTCTTCGTCGGGGAGAACCAAGAAGGTACGCTCATCGATGTCCTCTTTTCATCTATGTGAACCATACCGTACATGTTTTCGAACTGATACGTCTGCTCATCGATGAAGGTGAGAGTGTGCTTCATGCGCTGAATTTTGTTGTCGTCACTAAGCAGAGGCTTTATACGTCTTAAACGCCGTGTGAGGTGTCCCTCATCAAGCAGCGCACGTATCAGCGACGCAGAGACCCCAATCCGAGCCGTCGTTGCTGCCACACGATGGCGCTCAAAGATGGGTACTTCCTTGAGCTTTGCCGCCAGTTCGGAGCGGTCATACGGCTTCCGCCCTAAGTTTCCTTTGATTCTGCTTTCAGGGGCCCCATCCGCGATTCCTAGCGCTACGTTCTCCCTGTAGCGGTTCCAAATGCGCTTGATACTGTGCCAATGACAGCCGTAATCTTTGGCAAGGCATGTGCCATGAGGCACTTTGCCATCTCTACAACTAAAAAGAAGATCGTTAACGATTGCACGTCTTTGGACATCGGTTAAATTGCCCATGGGAATAGTCTAGGTTGTGTAGCGCGCGAAGTTGTGACTCAGCGGGATATTGAAAACTGAATGCGTCGGAGTCGGCCGCGTAAACCCCCTTAGCTCCGTCAATCAATTCTGAACCAACGAAAGCATACCAAACGTAGCCTGAAAGTTCTAATCGCGATTAAACCAATCAACGTCCTTTTTTGTTAAGTTTAGCAGGAGTTATCGAACGTTTTGTGCAAAAAGACCAATCGTTTTCGTGTTGGGTAATTTTCGCTCAAAAACACGGGGCTAAGGTGTTTGTGTGACCAACTGGTGGGATTGACCAGTTTTCCGGTCTATGATATATACTACTTTATAGTATTACCCAAAGCTTAGTCAATTGTTAAAGCGTTTTTATCGATCAAATTTCGTCCGTAACAAACCACAGGTAAAATTCGTGCATCTTATGAAGCCTCATTACTAGCAGAATGTCCCTATTGTGCTCTGCTTCCAACCAAGTTACGCCTGGACTGTCAACTTGATCGATTCGGTAACATGGACATCCACATCATCTCTGCAACGAGTGGCCGCGTTGTACAACGCCCACGAGCGTGAAAGGCCATCATCCATGGTTGCATTCTTGAGTTTGTGAAGTGAATCCATTGGGTTCACCGTGGCAGCATTGACGAGCAACAGCGATAACCACGTATTGTTGCTGTTCTTCATCGTGACAATGCGTTCCTTAGACAGAATATCATTCCACTCCTGCTCCACGAACGTCGAGGTACGAGCCAACTCGTTAATCGGAGACACCGGAATCATCTGGATACCATGAATGGCATATTTTCGGTCGAGGAACCAAGTGTTGTAGTACACTTTGTTGTCGAAGAAGATGCCCGTGACGTGGTTACGGACAATCTCAGGCGGATGAATCGTGTTGTCCGACTTCAGTAAGAAGTATGTGCGAATAGCGTGCGCATCCAGACGAAGCATCAGACTTCCGAGATCTTCCACAGCCTTTTTACCCGTCACGCGGCCCCACAACGTCATACCGTAAAAGAAATTGATATCCTCTGAAGTACTCTCCTCATCCTTGCCATTATCGATCGATGTCACACCGTGAGAGTATGAGTGACCCAAGTACCATGAAAAATGACGGAAACGAGGGAAGTACTTATCTTCCGCGCTTGGGTTTACCACGTCACGAAGCATCGTCCAGATAATCCGCTCCAGCTCCGGCATGCGAGACCAGTTTGGGTCCAGGTGCTTCAGCATAGCCGACGCCGTGATGAAGTAGCCGTAGTGGTAGTGGTGGTCATTGTACATACCGTTGCCGAACTCGGTGTAGATACTGCCCGTCTTGAAGATCGAGCTCGAGATGATTCCACGATACAGCGTGTCGTACATGAGCGGCGGCGACAGTGAGTTGTTGAGTACCGGCTCAATCATCTTCTCCAGTTTTTCCAGACAGTACGACAGGAGTAGCGTGTCTGGACCCACCACCGAGCTGTCCGCCGCCATCAGACACAGCGACGCATACTTCTGGAAGTATTTACCGTTGTAGTACCAGCTATCGGCGTCCCAGTCGGACCAGTTGCCCATGATATCCTTTTGTAGCGTACGCAGCATGTCCGTCTCCAGAACAATCCACGGTGACGGCTTGCGAGCAGGGTAGAAGTCCACCTCGAAGTCAGCTTCGGGCTCCACGAACGACCACGTCGGATTCGTCGTCACTTGACCTACCATAAGACCACGCGTAGCCGAGCGCATCATTATCGCCCCAGGACTCGTCGTTTTGGTAGGAGACCCAGTCATCGACTCGATCTGGTGCGGCAGTGCGAAGTGCAACAGGCCCACCGACTCACACGAACTGCCCTCCACGTCCCAATGCAACGTGTAACCCGTGCGCGATTCCATCGACACACTACCACCGAGTACCATACACGCCGCGTATTCATCGTAAACGGTATCATCAGTCGCGTCTTCTGGCAGCAGGGCCACTCGAATTGTGCCAGAGTACCCCTTGTCCGCTACCAACGACGAACCAGAAGCGTTCACAGAGAACACCACCGACTCCTCCACACGGAGTGAAAGGCTCTTGTCACTGGCGTACAGTACCCACGTTTGGCTGTTGTTCAGGTGGATAACAAACTTGCCCGGCGCCGAGTCGTCCACGTACGTGATGTTGTGCTCGGTATCAATACGAGGCGTGAGTCCGTCATATTTAGCCGACACGAAGGCCATGCCACTGACCAGCGCTGAATCCATGCATTTACCAGTAGTCTCGTCACACGTACGCAGCTTAGCACCTCCTTCGTCCCATTCGTAGACCTCATACGTCGGCTCGTATGAAAAGAATTCCTCCGACGACAGCGTCAGGTCGTTGTGGTACGAGTGGTTGTAGTACTTGACAGTACCGTTGACCTCCGACCCAATCTCCCGGTACGTGTACGAGTAGCAGGTCTGCAGTCCGTACGGTGCCTCACGCGGCAGCTTCACCGCGTACGGGTTGGACCAGGCGGCGTAGTTGGACACGTTTTTGAGATCCGTGACGTGAATGAGATTGCCCCACCAGTCGTTGGTAGGAATGGGCTGATTGAGCGCTTCCTCAGCAACGTTGATGATCGGCACGATTTTCTCAAGGCTACCATTGCGTTCGAAGAGTTCCTCGGATGGCCCGTCGGTGCCGAACGGTGCGAAGAACCCGCCACTGGTCGAGCCTTGTTGAGAAGTGGTAGTTTCAGCTGGAGCGTTGGGGGCAAGCGTTCCGATCAACTTCTCGGTGGCACCGCCGACAGTGTCTTGCAGGAAATTGTAGCCTTCACCGACGTCAGGGTCCGTGAGCGATGCGGTGACACTGCGGGCGGCCAGCACGACCATGGTCGTCTGTAGCAAGGTAACCATCATGGTATCTGAAGTTGATTCTCGTCTACAATAGCTTTGGTCGCCGCTTGTTGGAAAGGGACTGTGCACGGAGTGCGCAGTAGGCAGCAAGCACAAAAATGAATATTCTGAGCCGTGGATATTGCTATAACGCCATTCCACGTGACTGGATGGCAGGCGATAGTTCGTTCTCTACTTGCACATGTACACGGACCCCACCTCGCGGTGGAACCCTGCGCCACGCTTTGCTTTGGGTAAAGGTAGGGGTTGCTTGGATACTTGTAGTTAGAACGAAGTGAAGTAACGTATTACGCTATTGAGTTTAGACTCAACTTGGACTCAAAGCGGGTTGCGAATTACCCCTGATCACTCAAGTGAGGCGATCGTCGACCGATAAGGATACATATAACGATTACATATCGTTACATAATTATTGGCTGCTTTCATCCTGTGATTTGTCTATTTGCAGTTTTACTATATGAAGTCAATCCGAATTCTCTTCCAACTCTTTCAATCGGGACAGCGTGCCACGATTCGTGCCGATTCACACGTCTGCAAAAACGAGTATTTTTTATAGAGCGTAAGATTTACTCCTTGAGCATCTACAACAGAAACACGTACTGCATAATATTTATGGTATTCATCTGCTTCAGAGCAACGACTCTCGATGAGCTTCTCTGGATCTGAGTTTAATGGCCCGTTGCTTCACTACATCTAGATCGGTTTACGTCTGCGTTTGATGCTTCTCTCCAATAAGTTCTCCTTTCTGCGACGGGATTGCAATACTGGGCTTGACTTGAATAGAGGAGATAGTTTGTCAGTATGCACACTCTGAAGAGAGGAGACGTATACGCAAATCAACGGTCACAAAATAATTCGAGAGGACGAAGGATTTCGAACAGCGAATATCATGTGTTTTTCCAGGGGAGAACACAACCACTCGAGCATTGCCCGCAGATTTCACAATTCGAATTTTTCAAACTCCGCGTGTGCATAGCGGATCCTGTATTTCTTGCGATCTTGTCGGGGACGTGGAATTTACTTTAATATCTTTTGTCCGAATGAAAGCTTTTCCCCCGATGGCATTATCCTGATCATTTAGCAAAGTAATGGATTGCGTGATAATCATTGATGATCATCAATTTGATCGCACAGCTTAACTTGAATTGAATACTCGTCCCTCCTAAGTTTACTGAGAAAACGATCATTTGCATTGCCTCGAATGACGGCAGAAGCACTGATTTCCTGGTAGTGCAATCAAGCCTCTTCTACTTTGTCAGGTCCGACCTGGCAGGTTATTCATTCACAGAGATCTGGCAAATCTGTTGGTTCTTTTTCTTGATCCGTCCTACACTCTCCGTGAAGATGGCTTCCTCGTCAGCTTCGACACCTTGCTCTTTGCGTTACACTGCTGCGAGCACTCCCCATACGCTACAAAAGCAATTTCCACCACATAGCACGGCGTCGCCACTAGCACCACCTTCAGCCATGGAGGGACTTCAAGAAAAAAAATGTTGATTGATTCTGGAACGCCTCGCCGGGCACTTTGGAGTTCCACCGCAGTTGCTTCCACCGACGCGATCGAAGAAGACGGTTGAAAAAAGTGTCGTCGAGAAAGTAGAGGACACAATTTATGGCTGGAATAACGCATACCATTTAGGAGTGTGTGGCGCACCGGTGCCGCCGGCTGGAAGCCCAAGTTACGTAAGACCGCTCAAATATGGCATCGTGAATCACGATTCGTGATGTTGGAGATTAAGCAATGGAGCCGAGGCTCGCACCATGTCCGGCGACTTCGCCGACAAGTTGAAATCGGTTCAAGTGACGACGGAGTTGCCAAGTAAGAAAGGTATGCTTGTGAATCGGCTTGGTCTCACATTCGCGCACAGATGCTGCTAGTAGCCGTCGTCCTCAAACTCAAAAAGACAGGAGAACGACTAAAAATTCGTTTATCAACGTCAGTGCATAAAACCAATTAGCTGCTTTTCGGAGCTAGGTCATGTCTTCGATGAAGTAATCGGAAAAGAGAAGCAGCGAACGTGTCAAGCTGCAGTGCTTGACACATTGAGCAGATCACGGTGACTTGCGTCGGTGGCTTCTAGTAGTGTAGTGCGAGGCGAAGTCTGGGAATCCGTCGCCATCGTCCGAGTTAGCGTCGATACCAATGTCGCTCAGCGTGATCGAAAGCTGCAGCTTCATGTCAACCAGAATCATCAGCTCGCCCTTCAAGTTCGCGAGATCCTGCTCGAGATTTTCGATCTGCGCGAAAGTCTCCTCGTTGCCGACGTTGATCCGTTCCTTATTGCTGTGTCTTGTTGGAGACAAGAGAGCTGCATTTGCATGCTCTAACGCTGCATGTGCGGCATTGGCTTGCTGCTGCTTGCGCTCGATGAGATGCAACGTTTCACGCAGCCGGACTCGATTTTTGAGTTCACACTGCTCACTCGGACAGGTTTCGATGTGAGCTTCTGCCTCGTGCCACGCACGACATGTTGGATTAATGCACGGTGTAAACTCGTTGCACAGTTGAGCACGAATATCTTTGCAGTTTCGTGAACACGCTTGGCCCCGCGGAGGATTGCACAACATTGCATCAATGATGGCCATTGTATCACGAAGACGCCTCTTGAAAAGGCGAGTCTGGTCTGCAGACCGCTGCGTGGGATTGCATAGATTGGCAATGGGATCTTCAGCCTGGGCACTTTCACCTGTCTCGGCATTGCTTAGCACTGTTGATTGCGCTTCTTGGGTCAAGGAACTGACTAAAACGTCTAGTATCGCTTGGAATTTCGCTTTCGCCACATTCAGTCCCCAGACTTCGTCTCCAGCCTCCAAATCACGCTCTACTTGACGTAGTTCAAAATCAATTGATGATTCCTCGCTGTTATGGCCACTCTTGGTCTCTATATCTTTAGTTGCTTTGAAAGCTTTAAGATTTTGACTTTTCTTCTCCTTCTCCACAACCACCACTTCATCATCCATTGTAAAATATCTGGACAGCCTAGATGGAACATTTGAGTTCTTCTTCTTCTCGTGTACATTTAAATGTTCAGTTTGACTGAAAGCTTCGACTCCTGTTGTTCCCATAGTTCCAGTCTTAATAACGGAGTTACATCGATTCGTTTGAAGGGTGTCGCCAAGAGGTTGCTTTTCGACTACTACAAGTTTCGATGTAGGCGGAATTACTTCTGAACCATGCCCCTTCACACTTATTTTCTGCTGGTCCATTGCCACTCTTTTCACCTCTGCAGTAACCACATTCACTTTTCCCCTTCCCTTGTACAAGTACGTGTGAACATTGTTGTCAATAGATACATCACTTGCATCCTGTCGAGCACTAGCCCTTTTCACTAAAAAAGTGTCATGTCCTGTAAAGCTTTGATCCGAAGATTCAGGCGACTCTGTCCACGGGGCTTGACGTGCTCGCTTCGAAGAGATTCCAGCTTCTTTTGGCCGCTTTCTTGTCACCAAACGTTTTCTCTTTCCCCATTCTCGAGGTCGTGACGCTACGTTGTTGTTTGTTTGAGAGTCCACTGACGCAGACGTATCCGAGATTGAGGCTTCCGCAGAATTAGCTTGAACTGTAGTGTGTGTTGAGTTGGAAGCTGTAGCTACGAATGTGTCGCTATCTGACTCAGCTAAACTATCTGAAGAGCTGCTTGCTATCATCACATCCGCAGATGGATATTTTGCTGTTGAGTGAGCTCGCTTACTCAGGTTTATTGTTGCCTTTGTTGGTAGGATTTCACTTCGAAACGTCGAAGTCTTTGCCGTGATAAATTTGGTGTTCTTAACCACATCTCCACAATTGGTTCGATCAAGTTCTTTCCTTTGCGAGTTTTCCGTGTTAGCACCTTCGCAACTTTTTGCTGAAGCTTCTGCGTGGTTTACTTTGATACTGTCAGTTCTCGAAAACTTCGTACTCTCCAAACTCACGTTTCTTTCCTCCGGATTGATATCAGCTCTTTGACTTTTATCCTTCAGTTGTGTCTGCACCTCTGTAAATGCATTTGGCTTGTTGAGTGTATCTCTTTCGCCTCCACTAAGTGGTACGAGTTTTCGTCTGACCCACATATTCTGAGTCACGACCGAGTTGAGTATGTCCATCGAGGCATTACTCTGATACGCGAGGATCACGCAGTCCATTTGCTGCGCGAAATCAGGCGAGGTGTCCATATTCAGGACGATATATTCGACCAACTGTCGGCAGCAGTCGTAGTCCACTTCGTTCTTCAGTGCCCCTACTTTTGCAAACATCGGCGCCGGTGGCGGAGGATCCAGCTCGTCTACAAACGCATTGCAAACGTCATTAACCGCTTCTCCCACATGCTTGCGCAACGTGCGCTTCAGCTCTGCCTTTAGCTGCGCCACTAATGAGTCCTTCATCGCCGTTGTGTGGATCCAAATTGGACTCTTCAAAACAGCACAGGCAAAAAAAAAAGGACTAAAGTCCACAAATTTAACAAAACGAATAAAAGCCAATCAGAACCAACGCACTTTTGTTTAACTCTATAAAACACACCAGCTTATTCCCCTTCAGTCGAAAGAAAACCCAATGGCGAGCGAGACGCAGCCACCCAGCACCAGCGTTGGGCTGTTTGCCGTGACTGACGATCCGAGTCTGCCCGTTCCTTCACCCTCGGCGACAGAGCCGCCGGTCAAGAAGCGCCGAGGAGCTGGGCGCAAACGAGATCCAGTGTGGGACTTCACCACCATCTTCGCGGACAAACGAGTAGTGTGCAATCGCTGTGGGGCGCTCATCCATCGCTACGGAGTAGCCAAAGTCGAGCGGGTTCGAGCCCACTTCGAGCGCAAGTGTTCAGGCGTACACGCGCAGGCGGCGACGCCTCCACCGAGAGGCAACGATGCGACGGAGTCTACCGAGACGGGGCAGTCAGTTACTGGGGTTGAGCTCAAGCAGTCCAGACCCTCGAGTGGCAACAGCTACGGAAACAAGAGCGGCGCCTTCAAGCGCAAATTCGCCTATTGGCTCTATGCCACTGGACAATCATTTGAAGACGCTGAGAACGAGCTGCTGCTGAACGCTTTAAGAGTGTTACGGAGTGATGCGACGCTGCCTTCCAAGCACGAGCTGGAGAACGAGCTGCTGAACCTCGAGTTTATCGCATCCAAGAGCAAGGTGACCAAGGCCTTAAGTGGAAAGAAATGCTGTCTTACAGTGGAGAACTGGGTGGGTACAGGAGGGTGCGGTGTGACCACGTACGGCGTTACGTGCGAAGGTGCTTCGTACTACCTTGATTCAAAGACCATGGCAAGCCAGGAGAGCGTCGGGGAGTTGACGGCGGATGAGGTGGAAGCGGTGCTGACCAAAGAGAAGAAGGCAGAGTTTTATGGTGTTGTGACGCCCACGACGTCAGCTCTGTCCAAGTATACTCGAGAAAGGATCCAGAAGAAACACCCACGATGCTCCTTCTTCCACGGCTGTGTGTGCAACGCGCTTACGTTGCTGCTCGACGACGTCAGCAGCATCCTACCGTGGCTGAAGAAGCTGCAAACGTCCGTTGCCGATCTGACAGAGATGTTTCACGGAAACCATAAGCTGCAAACGCTAGTGTCCACGCTAATGTCTGCGTCTGAAACGAGTCAAACAGCGGAGTTTCCGGATTCCAGCTCGATGTGCGCTTCGCTGGAGGCTCTACTGAAGCATGAGAAGGTGCTTTACGCGATTGTTGCCCGTCGAGACTTTGTGGATGCTAGTGCACCAACAGAGCAGGAGAAGCTGAAGCGCGTGCAGGATTTTGTACTTGGCGAGACGTTTGTGCAGGATCTGGTGAACTCTCTTGCTGTCCTGCGTCCTCTGCAGCAGCAGCTGAAGCATTTCCAGGAAGACCGGCCTCTGTTATCGCAGGTGTTCCCGTACTTCGTGGAGCTCTTGACGGTGTACTCTTCGATGGAGTGGGTGAGCAAGAAGGAGAAGGCGCTCATCACTTCCTGCGTTACCGAGAGGTTTAACGCTATCTACGGCGACTCGCATGGCGTAGCATATACTCTGGACCCACTGTATTTGGGCGAAGCACTGGATGAACGGAAGAAGAAGGAAGTGGAGAGCTTTATCGTCCGCTTTTGCGAACGTGAGGGCCATACCGTTGATATTTTGACTCAGCTGCAGAAGTACAAAGACATGGTGGTCGAGCTGAAAGAAACCAACCAAGCGTACTTGCAGCTATTGCAATCCGGTGCTGTGACGCCACATGACTTCTGGTTGGAGCGTCGGGGTCAGTTCCCGTACTTGTACCAGTTGGCAGTAGCGGTCTTTGGACTGCCTGCATCGAGCGCTTCTCCGTCTCCGTCGTTTGGTGTCCAATGCTCTACTGTCCAATCCCGTTTCAATCGCAAGCTGTTACCAGACCAACTTCAGAAGCTCACGCATGTGTATTGCAACTCGAAAGGAAGTGCAAGTGAACCGTTGGTGTCACTACCGCAAAACATGTAGCTGAATCAATCGACATCTTGTCGTTAGTGTATTCGCTTATGTTGGACGACCAGTTTCGTACATATGACCAAAGAGGATTGAAAAGTAAGTTGATAGTCAAGTCGAAGCAAGTCAATACATCAATAACACTTAGTAACGTTACTCAACATTCAGCCCGGACTACGACCTTGGCATCTTCCTCGCGCGTAATGGCTCTGGAAGCTTGGAAATTCACCTGTCGCATTGTGAGGGAATCGATTGCTGAGGGCGTTCAGGTCGTTCTTAAAAGCTCGCTCCCTGTCCTTATGTAGGAGAAGAGCGTCTTCAAGTTTGGCACACATGTTCTCCAATCTTGCGATTTTACTCTCGAGTTGACATCGAGCGGCATCGTCAGAGTCTACATCATGGAGCAGAGCTTTCTTGGCCGCCAGCAGCTTCTTCTTTGACGCTTGAAGTTTAACTTCATGGTGATGGATATCATGTAGAGTCTGGCGCAGTCCAACGCCGTTCTTAAACTCACACTGCGAATTTTGACAGCGCACTAGGTGACTGTCAATTTCGTGCCACACAAAGCATATCCCGTTATGGCATGGCTTAGCACTTCCACCCTCCGTGCGATGCGTCGCGCACATTCGTGATCGAATTCTCGAGCATCCCTGAGTACACACCATTTCCGGTGGAGGACAACAGTTTTCCGCGTCTACAAATTCCACAGCTGCTTTCAGACGCTGCCTGTACGCTGGAGATCGATTGGACGGGTTGTCGCTTGCGCACGGTCACACGAGTCCTTCCCTTTCGCCATTCCGCAATAGTATTGTACGTGCTCGTGGTTCTGACACTTCTATCTCTGCCTCTGTCTCGGTTCAGTCTCAGATTCCTTCGCGCTGTCCGGTTCACTACCATCTTCCTTCTCCTCGCAATCCAGTGATCCCCCACCATACAGGTTTCGTGCCACCAAAAGACGCGATCGCTTTGATACTTGAGACGCTAATCTCTCCCTCGGTAGCTGCCGCTTGCCACCTCCCCTCTGTTGGCGGTGTTGACTGGGTCAAATCGATGCGTGGAGAGCAATTCTGCCTCAGTTCAGCCACGGTGGCATTTGCGACACCAACTGGAGTGACAGCAACAGGTTCATCCACAATCGTGTCCGTCTTAACGACGGGTCCTCGTATAGCTGGGGAGCTCGGCGCCGCAGCACTTTTAGAGTCAGATTTACTACCATTGTATTGAGCGAATAAACTCCCAGTCACCAACGATCGCAGCTCGAATCCTGAGCGATTGCTGTAACTGTCGGAACTCGGAGGAGATTGGGAGGAGATCTTGAAACGTCGCAGCAAGAGCGGCTCCAGAAGAATGCAACAACGGAGTACGCAGGAAGAACGAGCAGTTAGGAAACTCCTACAGAGGAGAATGCATACTTTTACAGGCCAAACAGGCTTGCATAACAACTAAATACAATCAGTCTTCAATCCACCACGCCGAGCACACATCAAGCGCCTAGCTAGTGCTGCTACAGAGCACACAAGCAACCAACAGTAACTCGCCTGAATAATTGTCTCCATCTGCTCCATGAAACCCTCCGACGTGTCCATGTGCGTTGCCATGTATGTGATCAGCTGCCAGCAGCATTTTTGGTAGATATCTACCGTTATACCATCCTGCAAGTGTTCTCGCTCGAAGTCGGCCAGGAGGCGTGTGGCTTCTGCCAAATTCGCGCGCAGCTGGTGGAAGTGCCCCTCGCATGCCGCCGCTCACCGTCGCTACGCTCGCAACTCGCAACTCGCAATGCGTGCTTGCAATGTTTTTTTTCCTTCTTCTGTAGGTTTTCAGAAACGTTGCATTTACAATACAAGATAGAGAACTTTTGCTCACGTATTTTACGAGAAACGATGCAACCAAAAATACACAGCCATTAATTGACTTCTGCGGGTACTGCAGTTCTGGTTTTGATCACAGGTGTAAAAACCTTAACCATTACGTAGGGTAAAGTTATATTATCTTCCATTGAGTGTGGGAAAGATACACCATTTTCTGGCAGTCATTTGCAACAGTTTCTTAGGGAAAAAAAAAAACAGTTGAGGGCCGTCGCAAAACTTAACCAATGATATCATCTCGTTTCAAATACCAATCTTGTCTTGGTAAATAAACACTAAATACGAAACCTTTCAATCTATATCTGTGGATTTGGTGTTGAGCACACACAAAACTGTTGGTGTCAAAAAGAGCTCGCATCCAGCGATGCGCCATGGCCCACCATCGAACACTGCGCATAGCACTGATCACGCATATGTATGCATTGAAATACACCGCGCCCTCCCTAACGACGTGGTCACGCGAGCTGCCTTGGCAGCCACACGCCGATTTCTTTGGCTGGGCCCTCGGCAAGACAAGAGCTGGCTACAGCACGAATATTTTGTAGGAGTTCGCTCATCTTCTCTCACTCTCTAGTACTTGAGTACTTGTTTCTCGCATATCTATCTACAATATTAAGCATTCGAAGCATACAGTGATATACCTTTTGTATTGCTCAACATGTAGCTGCCATAGAAATGCTTCGAAGTCTGTAGCTGCCATAGCAGCAGCAAACAACGTTACGCGATGTGTCGCGATTGACATATGAAGTACCTCAACGGTGGTACCTGTATGAATAAATCCACTATGCTAATTCGTGAAGGTCGAAGATTATGGAGTATCATGGGAAACCTAATCGCTGTCAGACTTGCAAACCTCGCCACCAGCTGTCATTTTGCTACTAAAATCAAAATGAAACGCGGCCCTTAACTGATCGAGACTGACTTTGAGGTATCAATTTCAGCACCAGATTATTCTCTCATTCTTAATGGTTGAGAGATGAAAAAATATCAAAAAAAAAAAAAAAAAAAAATAGCAGCGACTGTCAGCTTTCCAGACCTGCAAAGCTTTTTGATTTTGCGCTAGCCGTTCCGAACTTATGGGCCTGTGAAATGATCGACCAGTCGGCGCCCCTCAACTGGTTTTGTCCCCTTAGTGGGAATCATGGGACTTAGCGTATTTGGGTGAGAACTGATACCTTCTTCTCAACTTTTGTTCTTTCGGTAAACTACCAACGACCAAAATACCAAACATGCTCTCACCAAAATTAGCTACGAAATCAACAAGATGTGTTGAGGCTGCCGTTAACACTAGATAGTAGACTGCTTCCAATGAAAGCAATCGATTTGTACAAAATGCGCACTCGTATGCACCGCAACAGCTTGTAGAGTCAGTCGTCCCAAGTAGCATCAAATAGCAGCATTTCCAGAATGACAATTCACCACAGACCACACGAACTGGTGTCTTTCTGACTGTAGCACTTCACGTTTTCGTAAGTAGGATGGCTTCTAGCTGCATAATTCCTTCGACCGTAGAGCAAACGCTTTCTCGATGGTTGCTTAGTTGCGTTCAATTTGGAGAGGGTCGAACATGAAGCAAACGCCCTTGTTCGTCTCCGACCGGACTCTTCTGTCGGCTAGAAACCCAACCCGATGAAGCTCAACGCTGGAAATCCCAATAACGCGTTCGTCCTGTGGATAAGCGGCTCCAAAACCGCGGGTAGTGTAGCGATATGTTCATAAATAAAAACCTACCTGAGTGACGTTGTATGTGTCTGAGAACGGTTGCGTAGATCCGATACGCACAATTTCATCTCATCAACCAAGCGATGCGTGCGCATAACGAGAATGAAGTGCTTGCGAGTCTCAATGATGCTGCCAATCCATCTATGTGGTCGAACGCTGCATACCCGTAGTTAGGCCAGTAAGCGAGCAAATCAATATCATATCTTATCTTGATAGCTTTGATTCCTTCCGTAATCTTATTCATCTGTGAAATGCTTTTAACGACAGGTACGTCTTGGTCCACCACGTACGGCCTTACGGACAACTTGTCCCCGGGCTTCAACAGTAGGTAGAACCAGAGTGGCCACCATTATTTTGCTTGAAACACACAATCGGGATCATCCAACAGATCATCCACCTGGTGAAACATTGCCAATTTCCCCAACTTGCCTCCTCGATACCTGTCTACCAATACCCGCGCTAGTTTATGGTTTTCCTTCACCTTGCTCTCTTTCGCTGCGCTTTTTTGGTCATTCCGTTGACCAGTGGACGATCCGCAAACTTCCAGGTCGGTGCTCCGCACCTTTTGATGCATTCATTTTCTGATTTTAGTGTTTTCGGTTTAGATTTGGTTTCATATTGTTCTTCAATCTTCCCTTTGATTTCTTGCGAATATGTGCCAATTCCAACGTCCTTGCTACTGTGACTTTCTTCACCACTCACACAACTTCCACTTCGATGTATTAGCTTTGTTGCGCGTCCATTTCAAACCTACTGTCACTTGGATCTTCGATAAGACGACTTGTGTGTGTTACTTCGTCATTACAGCGATCCTCGTTTCGAATCCTCGTCAGCAAATGACTTCTGCGATAGCGCCGCTCCGCGCTTAGAAAAAAATGCGAAAGGCCAGGGTAGAGTGTTTCGTTCCGCTCTGTACGGTGCCACCGCTCAGAACGTCGTAGAACTTCTGTACGCACTGGTGGGCAACCCGATACGTAGGTGTTGGCTGAACAATGCGGTCGACAATTACACCTGCAAGAGCTTTTGTCTACATGTACTTCGGGCTGGTAGGCAAGACCTCATCTTGGGGGGGGGGG